ATTATCTAACTTTATCTAAAAGCATAGTTGCTGGGTCAGCTGTAAATAAGCATTTTTATTTCATTTCACTAGCAAATATGGAGCCTCTACTAAGCACCAAGCAGGTGGGGGCACTGTTGAGGTTTTTCACCATACTGTTATTAAATAGTCTTCCAGAAATCTGAATGTAGTCACATGCCCCCCCTTGGGTGTTTAGCATGGCTGGATAAAGGGCCTAGGTTTAGCAATGCTCCTGGAAGGAGCAGTCAAGACGTCAAACGATGTATTGCCTTGGGCAGACCCGCTGCACAAGGCTGCTTGAAAAAAATATTAAAAGAGCAAAGACCTTTCAGGACTAGGTGTGCCTGACCCAAGGCATGGCATTGCCGATGACCTCATTCGTGTGCATGTGAAACTGGACAGTGAAGACCAAAGAAGAATTAATGCATTTGGATTCGGTACTTACAAAGAATCGATCACAGTCCCACGAGCTGCCAAACAGCCAAATGTGTCTTGGACGAAGTACAGCCAGGCTGCCTCTCGGCAGCCAGGGGACTGAGGTGCTGTCTCACATGCTCTGGGCACGTTGCTGGGAGGAACCAGGCCCTGGAAAAGGATGCCATGCTTGGTAATGCAGGGGGGCAGCGAAGGAAGACGCCGTAAGGATTTGAACGGACGCAGGGTGCCACAAGGGCTCAAGCATACAAATACTAATGGTGGGGGTGCCACAGGACTGTGCGGTGTTCCTTTCAGCTGCACATGGGGCCAGCACCCAACCACAGCCACCACACAGGTCGGCTTCGGTTTTTGCTGGTTGGTTTGCAGGGCTTCGGACGGGCTTGTTGCTGTCCTGCCCCTTGCCGAGACCTTGCATGGCCACCCTAGCCACACTGAACCAGAGCTCTGTTTCAACGAGATCCCAAGGTGAGAATGGATCTTATTAAAATAGAGGTTCCAATTCAGTGTATCTAAGGTGAAAATGCCAAGTCCAACCAGAATGCACCCCAATTCAAAGGTCCGTTTGTCCTACCTTTGTTTGGCAATCCCTGATAAAAAGCCAACCAGACAAACAAAACGCACGGCCTCCCAGTCGATTCAGACTCAGAGCAACCCCGTAGGACAGAGGGAAGGGCCCCTGCGGGCTCTGAGGCTACAGGTCGTCTTTACAGAAGCCTCCTCTTTCTCCCTCCAAGCAGCTGGTGAAACTGCTGACCAGCAGGGAGCCCACGACACCACCAGAGCTCCCAGCAGCCTCTAGGAGGCCCAAATTTAGTTGGGTGTACTTTGTTGTTAGCGACCGGCAGGTTAGTCAAGGAATCACCTGTAATTATCTGTGGCTAGCAATGCCGGTGAATCTGGAAAATGGGTGATGGACTGGGAGAACAGGGAAGGATTGAGCGAGTATCCGAGGTTGAATCTACTGTTTTTATTTTTTTTAATGGGAGAAAAACATTGAATTGCTCTAATTAAATTATCTCTGGCTTTTTTCCTAATAGACAACTCTTCCAGCAACCATACTGGAAGCCTGGGTGCTGGGAATGCTGCGGTACAAACGCCAGGTGGCACCCCGATGTCCACACAGGCGCCCCCTGACAGGAGGTCCCCTCGGAGCCCCCACCCCGGCCACTCGTCTCGCTCCCCACCATCTCCAGAGGTGGCTCCGCAGAAATGCTTTTTACAGATCACGGGCATGACTTGTGCCTCCTGTGTGTCCAACATAGAGCGGAGCCTGCAGAAAGAAGCCGGTGAGAGAGCGCCGTCCTGGCTAACCCGGGAGTACCCCTGCCCTGGGGCCCTGGGCTCGGTTCTCCCTGCAGCATTTCACCAGCATTGATCATCCGAGAGCAGCTCGTGGCTGTATCATAGAGGCATCTGTCCTTGAGCTCACAACCAGACCCACTGCCATCAGGCTGGTACCGATTCATAGCGACAGAGTCGAGCTGCCCCTGTGGGTTTCCGCGGCGGTAACTCTTGACAGCGCCATCGGGTGCATTCGAGCTGCAGACCGTGCTGTTAAGCATGCCAGCCGGTCACCTGAAACACCACCAAGACCCCAGGTCTTTCATTCACCGGAGACAGTATACCATAGACATGCGTGTATAAGTCAAGTGTTCGGCACATTTTTTAATGGCAGTTTTTGTGGTAAAATTAGGTGCCTCGGCTGATCTTCGGGTCAGCTTATACGCAAGTATGTCCCGGTAGGTGTCTGACAAAGTTATCCACAGGAAACCCACTTCAGGCTACCGGGACCCTGCATAGGGGGACCGCTTGATTCGGGTGTCCTGGTGTGCATTCCGCTTGTCCCATGTTCTAATCTCATCAGCCCCTGACTCTCACGTGTCGATCCGCTCCCTTCTGTGAAGGGTTTCCATTTCTCATATTTTACCCTGCCATCCGTCGAGCCCATCCCATGTCACAGAGCCACCAAGTATGTCCTTGAAACTATGTTCCTCGCATCATCTCTTCACCTGAAAGGGCAGCCCAAATCCCGCCCCAGGCGTTTTGCTTGAACGAATATCTCACCCCTCTCTAAATGTATTCTGTTGTTGTTTGTAAAAAGCCTCAGCTGCCATGCCACCAATGTCCTCTTCCTCCCGAGCTGGTTCCACGTGCCTTTCTGCTCGGATGGGACGTTACTGTTTCCTGGAACTCGAGAAAGGAGGCCTGGTGGTTTAGTGGTTACACACCGTTTGAATCCACCAGCCGCTCTGCCGGAGATGTCAGTGTGTATGCGGCAGAGATGTATGCGTCTCAGACACCCTAGGGAGTGGGGGTTCCGAGAGACTCCATGGCAGCAAGGCTGGGTTTGGGGGCCCTTGAGGAGCCCTCGTGGTGCAGTGGATAAGCGTGACTGCTCACCGAAAGGTGGGCAGTTTGAACCCACCAGCTGGTCTGAGGGAGTGAGGTGAGGCCGTCGGCTTCTGTGGATACAGCCTTGGAAACTGATGGCAGGTTTGCTCACTCCTGGTGAGTCCTCACCAGCGCAGTGGCAGTGGTTTGGTTTGGGTTTGGAGCTGTCAGCTGTCCTCAGACGGAGGTTAGAGGAGTGAGTGTCTGTGGCCCAGGGTCTGACTGCTCATACCATGGACTTATCATAGCAGTGTTTTTCACGTGTCCAGTGCTGGAAACATCGAGCCCCTCCTTATCCCCCTGAGGACACCTTTTCCAAAGTACCTCGGCAGTTCCTTTCACTCACCTGAATGAGGCTGTCGAAAGCACCATTCACTCAGAGGGAGCAAGGCCAGGCTTGGTACTCCTGTAAGGAGTGCCAGCCCGAGAAACTCACACGGGCAGCGCCACCCTGTTGTAGCATTGCTAGGAGTTGGCATCAGCTCCATGGCAGTGAGTTTTTGCTTGTTTGTTTGTTTGTTCTTTTAAGAAAACAAGCCCAATGGTGTTAGG